AAGGAATTACATACAAGTTGCATTTTTATCATCAGGCCAGTTCCCACTTTGACTTGGGAGATACTAGGAGACACCAATGCAGTTTTCAGTTGAAGAGCCTGAAATAAGAGTTAGAAAGATGTTGCTCTAGAGTGCACTTTTCTGCATACATATTGTGCTTAGTTTTGGACAGTTCTCTACCTGACAAAGATAGATAAACGCTAATGTGCCCAGTAAAATACAACAAAAATGATTAGAGCTTTCTTCTGGAGAAGGGATTATAAGATTAAACAAGCATAGCTCAAGCTATCTGAAAGAACATAGTGTGAGCATGTTATGTATATGAGCACAAAACATGGAAGAGAAGGGCTTTCATTTAATGTGATACTAGTAACTGAACGAGAATTAGGACAACAACCTGCAACTTCTCTTAAAGAAAAATTCACCTATATATCAGGCAAAAATTCCTTATAAATATTTGTGCACATCTGCTTCATGTGACCTGTCATCTGCTAGCCAATGACTTAAAGACTTCTGAATGCAATTAAATCTGTCTGGTCAAAGAAAGAAGGCTGGCACTGACGGGCTGACAGCAGTTCGTGCACTTTATGGCATGCATGTGTTACTCTAGACCACAGCTGAGTACAGCTGTCCTGTGTTTTCTGCGTCTTCCCTTGTCTGAGTCTACAATGAATCTTTACATTTTATATGCTCCTTTGAACATTTCTGATAGTGATAGCTTTCACTGTCCACACATTACAATATATTTTGCAATCTTCTGTCTCACTAGCTTTAGGCAGAGGCAACGTTTTAATCTGCTGGCACCTAAAATATCTCAACTTTGTGAATTCTCATTCCCCAGTAATACACAAGAGACTGGTCAGCTTCAAGCAATCTGCTCGTTTTTTCATTCAATGATACCTCGTCTTCAAAAAAGAGACTTTTATTGTTTTGCAAAAGCTTAAATGTAAACAATAATCAACATGGGATGAGAATATAAAAGAGATAAAATTGGTTCTGCATTCAAAAGGAGCTAAAGTGTTTATTGAATTCTGAAGAGAGAACCTGTTATTTTCCAGCTTACACAAAGACATCTCAATTATCACCTACTGTATATCCAAGTTTTGATTCCTGATCGACAAAGCACAACAGATATGCATTTGCTCAGCTGTTGCATTTCAAGAGTGCTAAATGAAAGAGGAAGGGGGAGTCCTGGGACCCGTGGTAAATCATCAGAATGAAAGGGAATAACATATTTGAAAGATAGGCATTACTTTTGCAAACATAAAAATTCTTAAAATGCAAATAAAAGTGAAAATGTAGCTTATGGATCCCTTCAGTTGGCTGTTCCTAAATCTGTACCTTTTTAATACGTAATCTGCATAAGATGCTGCTCTAAAGACATCTGATGACTTTCTTTGTCACATTCTTCATGCCTTGTATCAGTCAGATAAGATACTTTCAAATGACAAGATCAAAACACTAAGACAAGCAGAGAGGCAAGGAAAGAAGGAAGGAAAAATATTGAACAGTTTTGCGATATCACATGAGCATGGGTTGTATACCCTAAGTTACTGTTCAAAAATGTAAACTGTAGAAATAAATATTGCTTTAGAATTAGTAAGTGTGGAGTGTTGCTTATGTCAGTCTCTCTAAAATGTAAATAAAATCAACAACATTTTCCATAAACTGTCTGTAACAGTTCAAATTTTTCTTTGTGAGAAACAAAAAGGGATTTTGTTTTGGTTGCGTTTTAGGCAACATACAGGAAAGTAACTGCTCCAGGCACAAAAAAATAAGCTAGGTCCTGAAACACAGCATATGGAACAACAAAATCCTTTCGTTTGCAGAAATGTCATATTTTGTTAGTAAAAGACACATTTAAAATAGCTTCAAGATTAATGCTCAGAACAGGGAAGAATCAGTAAAGGGCAGCCTTCTTTTAGAAAGCTTCAGGAGGGGCTGGAAAAGGAGAGTACTGTTACTACCATAACCCTGGTCTACAGACCTGTAACGAGTATCAAAGATAGGGGGGGAAAGCTAAGAATCATAAACTGAGGAAAATATATTCTTCACCACTTTTCTCCTGGAAAACAGTAAAAAGTCTACAAATAAAACTTTTGAATGCAGAGTATGCACCTATATCCCTTGAGAATTTCTTTCATATTTCATAAACTAAAATTCTATACTACTCATAATGCAATAAATATGGCTTTTATGAAAATATTGGGGAGTAATGTGCTGAATGAGCTGAGTATTTGATGCTCAGGCTATTTCTGATGAAAAATAGACAGACTCCTTCCTTTTTTCTTTTTCTGGATGTAGAAGAGCAAAGGAACAGGTGACCCTACTTTGTTTTCCTATTAATGAGTAGCCATCAGAGCATATTATCAAAATATTAACTCAGGTACTGAGATGTTGCTTAAATCTTCACATATTAATTGTAAAGATATTCTTACGCCGAAGATAATTTTGAGCACAATATTTTTAAAATTTATATTTGGCATCCTTGCCTCAAGTCTAAAAATAGAATAAGAACATTTAGAATTTTTCAGTTCTCTGATTTTTTTTTAATCAAAATATGTTTCATTGTTTTCATGTGTTTAATATAGCGTATAAGTAATTTTTCAAAGTTTTAAGGGATAATTGTATGTTAGTAATAACACTGGAACATGATAGATTTTCAACAGGTTTCCTCTGTAAATTATGTGGAATAGAGAAGGAAATTGTAATTGTGCTTTGAATATGTTTCCAAAATGTATTTTTACATATGTTGTACAGATGTATAAATTTTGCTTTGCCCAGATGAAGATTTCTAAGCTGCTTTCATGCTCAAATTACTTATCACAGTTTTTCTAAAACTCATATTTTGAGAGCTTTTGCTTATTTTATTTTGAAAAATTGCTGAAAAGGTGTTTGTTCTTAAGTATAAATAAGAAAATAATTATAAAAGAAATAGTTTCATTCTGAGCATCCCTACATATGTGCAAAGCTTTCTAGTTTAATATTGAATTTTGAGGAAAATAAAGCCTCTGAGCTTTCACTGAGAAACAGCAAAAATATTTTCTTCAAAAGAAAATTCCTTTCAATTCATGTGAGTTATGAATATTTAAAAATCACATCTAGCAGGATATTTCCAAAGCACTTATCATTGGCTTAGCTATTCTGGTGGAACTAATGGAAAGATGCCCATTAAATTCGGTGGAAGCACATTTATATTCAAGATTTTTAGTGTCACTCTCAACAGACTTGTGCAGAAGATACAAATCCATTTTAAAGTCCTGCAGAACAGTGGATTCTCATTTGGAATCAGTTGGGTTAGATTCTTTCAGAGTTGGTAGCATAACAGCTGTCTTTCTGTCAGTGTAAACTAGCAGCAGCCGATTAAGGTCTTTGTGTAAGACAGATGAAACTACAACAGTCATGAGTGAAGACTAGAAGCTCATGTGTTTAAACAGAAGCTGAACTGTGTGATTCAAGAAGTTTCTCTATGAATCAGCATAGCAGTGCCTGCGATGAAGTTACTGATTGTGTTAGAAGCAACTGGCCATATGATACAGAAGGCTACTGGGAGGCGTCACTGATACACCAGGGGGCTGTGCTGCCATTCGGAGGGACCTCAACAGGCTGCAGAGACAGGCAGAGACAAATCTCACAGAGCTCATTAAAGGGAGTGCAGGGTCCTGCACCTGGGGAGAAATAACCCCATGCACCAGTACAGGCTGGGGGCTGACCTGCTGGAAAGCAGCTCTGCAGAAAAGGAGCTGGATGTCCTGGAGGACAACAAGTTGATCATGAGAAAGCAGTGTGCCCTCGCGGCAAAGGCTGCCAACAGTCTCCTGGGCTGCGTTAAGGAGAACATTGCCAGCAGGTCAGGGGAGGTGATCCTTCTCCTCTGCTCAGCCCTGGTGAGGCCGCACCCGGAGTGCTGGGTCCAATGCTGGGGTCCCCAGCACCAGAGAGACCTGGACATGCTAGAGTCAGTTCAGTGAAGAGTCAAAAAGATGGTTAAGGGCATCTATCATGTGAGGAGAGGTGGAAACAGCTGGGATAGTTCAGCATGGAGAAGAGAAGGCTCAGGAGGATCTTTATCAATGCTTATGAACATCTGATGGGAGGGTGTAAAGAGGATAGGGCCAGATTCTGCTCAGTGGTGCCCAATGACAGGATCAGAGGCAACAGCCATAAACTGAGCAATAGAAAATTCCACTTGAACACAAGAAAACCCTTCTTCACTGTGAGGGTGGCTGAACGCTGGGACAAGTTGCCCAGAGAGGTTGCGTAGCCTCCATCCTTGGAGATATTCACTCTCCAACTGGACACAGCACTGAGCAACTTACTGCAGCCCACCCTGCTTGAGAAGGCGGTTGGATTTGGGGTTCTCCAGATGTGCCTGCTGGCCTCAGCAACTCTGTGATTATGTGATAGGCATACAAAAGAAAGACCACCCCCCCAAAAAAAAAGACTATGAGCAGAGAGAGAGATATTAAGGAACTACAAGGCATAGAAGCTCAGATTTGTTACTCTGACAATGAAGACTGCTAAGCTTCCTGCTATACGAGATGTAGCTGGTGCCACAAGCAAAGTAAACTGCTCCTGTTGCTAGGTATCCCCCGTGCTGATGGGGAAGCAAGACTTTATCCAAACTTGACTGTGTTCTGTTTTATCTAGAGACACACCTATTCCACCCTCAATATATCTTTATATTAGAATCTGGATTAATTGCTCAGGTCAAGAAGTGATAACCTATTCAGTTTGTGTTAGTACCAAAACAAAATGAGTATTTGGACAAAGTAAAACATGTATAATTTAACTTTTTCTTTCTAGCTGATGTTTTTCACAGTAGTAGGAAACATAAGTATTTTAATATATCTGTATGATGCTATGATTACAACTATGTTGGCTATATTACAACATTTTATTATTAGTGTAAACATTTTATTAGTATAAAAGCATGAATATTTGTACTTTTTATTTATTTTTTCTGTATGTTTCATTGCTTTCATGTTTTGCTTTCTTAGCTCTTGTATTCTAGAGGCATCTGAGATGGACAAGAGGAAAGGAAGAAACTAAAATGGAGAACATTGCAGATGAGCAGATATCCTGTAAGCAATTGTTTTAAAAGCTTAAGACATCTAGAATTTCACACTATGCTGTCAGACTGAAGAAATGTTTTGCATTACATATCTGGAAAGTTGAAAATCTCCACTTAAGATAACCTACAGTTGTCATTTCACTATATAAAGTCTATCAGAAGCTTACTTTCCGTAAGAAACTCAAAAACAATTGGAAATAGCAGTATTGAGACAGAAGAATATTTTATTTTTCTCTAGCAAATGCTGTATTGAAATGCATTTTTAATAGCTTCATGATAAGCAGTAATTTGCTGTAAATTTTTTGATAGTGTCTATTAGGTTACATTTATTTCAGACCAAAATCCCACAGAAATCATCTCAACTCAAAAATACAGAATCAATCTTAAAATGCATATCATAGCTTGATTTACATTAGCTGCTACTTCAATTAATTTATGTTACAGGAAGGAGAACAATCTTATTCCTATCCCATATTCATAAAGCACTAGCTAAGGAATGGCTAAGCATAGCAGGATAATCTTTTGGTTTGTTCTAGTTTTCCTTTTGTTTAAAATAATTTAACTGTTCATGCTGGATGTTTAGCTTCATATCGTGTATCTCAAAATAAGGACTGTGAGAGAGGATTAGGCATGGTCTTTAAAATATGACAAAAATCTGCACAGGAAGATGATTTGCTGCAGACCATCAGCAACTGATGCCATCTGCAGGTGGTAAGAATAAACATTTTTCCGGCTAGCTTTTCATGAGGTAAAGTATTTGTTACAAGTGATGAGGGTGCAGAGTGTAAATATCATTCAGCTAAAACAATGTAAAAACATAGGAAAAGTTTGTTATGAATTGGGTAAAAAATTCTCTTGAATTTCTGATGCTAAGAAGGCATCCTTAAGTGGATATTTTTTTCTATCTTCTAATCTTTTCACCTCCCTTAGAAAAGAAAATCTATTGGTTTTCTGTAAATACGGATGAAAAATATCCAGTGGCTCTAAACTGTTATGTATTTTCCCTTTATAGATATGGTATATTATGTGCATGAAATGCTTTTCCTGTGAGCAGTTTGAATTTTTAAATTCTTATATAAGCCCACAGACAGTGATGCAGCCTTTAGTAGCAATTATAATGAATATGGACTCTCTTTGTGATGCAAAATAATCTCCATCACAGGTCTTCTAAGAGAAGAAGTCGGCAGCTTCAAATCACAAGAGGTTCATCCTTTGCTATAAAGTAAGAAAAATGCTATGCCAAAGCTTTGAAGGAAGCTCTGCATAGGAAAAGAGAAATGCTCAAAAATGTTACTTAACTGTTGTGCAAATCCACTAGGGAAAACAGACTTCTACCACAAATAATTCCCAGCAGATATCTCTCACATCCTTCCTTCCATCTCACAGGCTGTTGATTGGTAAGGAGAAAAGACACTTGAACACAAGGTGATTTAGGTCTTATGTTTGACACCATGCATTTTTCATTCAACCAAATAAGTAATGAAGTACCCTGAAGCAAACTTTTCCACATCGCATTTTGATTTATGGAGATGACAGTGATCCCATTGTTGCTTTCCTTTCATTAAGCTGTTCTCAGTAAGAAAGAAAGAGAGAGGGAGAGAGAGAGAACGCACAAACAGTCCAATCTTTCAGCTTCTAGTAGCAAAATTCAGCGACCAATATATGCTTCCCCTGAAACAGAAATAAAAGTCTCAGTTGAGACTTTTATCATCAATATTGAAAATGCTCTCTCAGAGGGAGTTAAACTACTAATTACAGTGTCAATATTTCTTCTGCTGGTGTCTTACCTTTGAATAATCATAACATACAGAGTGTGAGATTGCTCAGAGAAAAGCTCCCCAAACCCAAAATTATTGGAATTGAAAATATCTATCTACATATAGTTTGTCTGGAGAGATAGTAAGATACACAAACTAGCTTCTTTTTAGGGGGAGGAGGGTCTTTTCTTTGTTTGTTTATTTGCTTGTTGTTGTTGTTGTTTCTTCCCCCTACAGACTTACCCGTTTGTCTTTCTTTTCTTTAGCCTGCCAAGTATCCTTTAGTCCTTTAAGGTGTCATCTCACCACCAAATACTGAAGTTTGCAAGTTCATTTGTTTTATGATACTTCAAAAGCTGCTTGACATGATTTTGGTTTGATTAATGTCTGGCAGCACTTTGAAAGTATGTAGCAAAGGGGCTGCCCAGAGGTAATCACAGGAATCAAGAGTCTATGTGGTCTTATTTCAGCTGAGCTGTCAATACAGAAATCACCAGTGAATGGAGGAGTATTTAATTGTAACTTGGGAAACAAATTTTATACTGTACAGTGATTTTGGCATCTTAGTCTCGGCAGGATTTTTCACAGCACATGCCTCACAAAATGGACCTAAATGCTCTCAGAGTGGAAGGTTTACATACTGGTTTAATTGTTTTGTAAATGCATTTTTATTTTTTTGCGGTGAGAAAATAGATTGACCAGAATTCTTTAAAATTATAAACCTGCACCATGATTTATAGTTCTTTTCTACTTCATTCATATCAGGAGACTAGATATTGAAATATAAATATGTTTTACCCCATTTCAAAAAGCAGGTGTTGCATATTTCATTACGTGGCCACAGGGTTAGAAAACACCCTGGATATTTAGGGTGGCATTGAGCTTCCAAGATTCAGGCAGGAGTATTTGAGAAAGTAGGTCATGAAATGAACCTCATCACATTGAAAAGGTAATCTGAACTGGAAAAACTGCATTCCCAAAAGAAGTTCTTTCCTTATTCCTGAATACTGGTCAGGAATACTGACCTCAATATTGGTCAGGAATAAGGAAATCAGTTATTAATACGATCCCTGACGTAATCTCCAGGTGGATGTGTGCGCAGTGCCAGAAGCTTTTGAAAGACAATGAAGAGATGTCTAGACGGGAGGTTTCGTGACCTAATGTTTTAACAAAACCATCATGTGATCATCAAATGTAGAGGCAATCATAGAAAATGCAACCTGATCCAAGCCAGCCACAAAATAATTGCCTTCCAGAGGTACTTTCTGAAAAACATCTGTGCCTGCCTTGTGCAGGTCAGATCAGAAGATTACAGTAGAGTTTTCTAGCCTCAGATCAGTAAGTGAATGAATAAGTTACGGATGCCGCTAATGCTGTGTCTATTCTTCACGTTCAACACAGGTCCAGGAACTGAGGTTTTGTCACTCTTGTCTCTCAACTATGTTACAGGCAGTTTTACTGGCTTCCGGCAGGGAGCAGCTGGTGCTGTCTCCTTCCCCCCCCACCAAGGACGCTACTGATTGTAGCAGGTTTCTCCTCACGAACTCGTTCATTGCAAAATGAAACAGCTGAAAATTTGACCATGATTACCTTCAGCTAATCAATTTGTGTAAGAATTGGAAGGAAAAAAAAAAGGAGAAACGGTCACATAGGCAACGCTGATCTTGGCAAGGAAGCATTATCCATAGTGTTAACACTGGAACAAGACTCTGGAGATAGTTTTGAATATCTCCAAGGATGCAGATTACACAACCTTCCTGAGTAACCTGTTCTCGTGACCGACTACTTTTAAAGTGCAAAATTTTCCCTTGCTACCTAACTGATATTTCCCTATTTGCAGCTTCTGCATAATCTCCATCTTCCTTTTACCATGCTCCTTCTCTGCAGCTTCCTTATATATAGCTGAAGATAGCAATAATACCTGCCCTCAGCCTTCCTTGCTTAAGGCTAAACGAGTGCTGCTGCCTCACCCTCTCCCCAGGCACCTGGTGCTCCAGCCCCAACCCCTCGCTGGATCCATGCACTCACTGCAGGACGCTGGTGCCTGTCCTGTGCGGGGAGCCCCGCACCAGACGCAGCCCCCCAGGAGCAGCCTTGCAGCTCCCAAATAGTGAGGCCAGATCCCACCTGTGCCTGGATCTGGCCTGGACCTGGCCCTAGCCCTGCCAGCAGCACCATGCTGGTGCAGCCTGGGCTGCGGTGGCATTTCAGGTGCCCAGGTGCTGCTGGCTTGGGGCTGACCTGGAGTCTCCAGGGCCCTTTGGGCCCCTTTTTGGCAGAGCTGCCCCCCGGCTGCCTGCCCAGCCTGTCCTGCTGCACAGTCGTCCATCCTAGGCGCCAATTTTCCGCCTTCATTATGATTTACCTATCCTATTCATATCTCAGCAATTTAGATATAAAATTACTACGATGATATATTGAATGTTGTAGGATACTACATTTGTGAAGCTTCTCATTCTCTGAGATACTCTCAGCAAATAATTTAAGCTAAATTCACAAATAATTGAGACATCAGCAGAATTTTCATGAACTGTATATAAAGCAATACAATCTTCAAAGCGTCTTTCTAGTCACTTGCCTATTAAAAAAGAAAAAAAAAAGAAAAAAAGGAACATGGCTGTGAAGGACATTGAGGGCCCAGGAAGCGAAGCAGCTTATGGCTGGGTTTTTCTTTTTGACTGCTGAGGTAGTTCCTTATTCTTTGTATAACGGGAACCCATATATAGTTCTCTATATTCATTATTTATGTGCGCTTCATGATTGACTTAGCTATTTCAGAATGATAGTTTCTGAAGGATAAACACCAAAAAGATAAACCTCTTGAAGCCAAACCACAATTACAATGCTGACAACTGAAACGTCTAAATCTCTTTGTGACTATAACCCTTAAACTTCAGTTTGACTCAGTTTCCTATACGTAAAATTTAGATAGTAATTTCTTTCATCATAAGATAGTAGGAAGGATAAAAAACCCCTCCATAGATGTGAATATTTAGGAAGAGAGGCTGTAGATAACAGTATAGAAAAATCTAGTAATTTAAAAATTCTTTTGGTAAGAAGTTTTTCTTTAGAAATTGTCATTATCTCTGGATTCTCTAGCAGAAGCTAAAGTATCGTTCACAGTTTGCATTCATCTACAGCATAACTCCAAAAATATTTTTCCCCAAAAAGTTGGCTGATACCGTTCTGTAAATTATATAAACAATTGTATTAATTAAGACAGAGTCTAGAAGGCAGCAACTA